TATTCACGAAGGATACTAGTCTGTGGCTTTCCTTTCTTGTAATGTCTGTTTTTTTATATCAAGGTACTGATGGCCCCATTTAATGTGTTAGAAAGCATTCCTTCCTCTTTATTATTATTTTTTTCCTTAAATATTTGGTAGAATTTACCAGTGAAGCCATTTGAACATACAGCTTTCTTTGTGGAATGGATTTTAACTACAAAGTCAATGTTTTAATAGAGTTATTCAGGTTATCTGTTTCTTCTTGAGTGGGCCTTGGAAGAGTATTTCAAGAAAGTTGTCTATTTCATCCAACTTGCCAAAAAATTGGCATAAAGCTATTCAAAATATTCCCTTTTATCTTCTTAATACCTGTAGAATCTGTAGTGATTTTTCCTCTTTAATTCCTGATACTTGTAATTTTATGTCATTAAATCTTTCATGTTATGTTTTTTCATTGTTGTCTTTTCCCCCCTTTTCTACCTTTCTTTAGAATAACTGAATATTTTATATTAGAATTAAATTAGAAGTAGACTTCTTAGGAAGCAAGTAAATACAAGAGTGTGAGCAAGCATCTCTCTTGGTGCTTGCCTTGTAGACTCAGTTGTAGGACTATGATTATGGTTGGAAAGACACTAAAACTGTTTTCCTGGCACTGCTCTGCTACTCACTACTTCTGTGACCTTACACAAATTTCACTGCATATAAATCACTTTAGAACAGTGCCTGGCAATAGTAAACAGTACACATTTGCCATTACTGATACTAGTTATAGTTGTTATCGATCAGTAGTTGTAAAATACATTAAAATTTCATTGAGTGATTCTGTTTTCTAAGCTTACATCTGAATGCTTTCACATAGTGCATATAATGTAAACCCTTTTAAGCCAAACTCACCCTATAGCAAGTACTATACTGCAACAAATATTTCTAACAAATTTCCAGTGTGCTTCAAGTTTGTGGATATTATAATTTCCCCTTCATTACTTTAGTTTGAAAAAAAGGTCAGATTCCCAATTTTCAAAAAAAATTATTCCACATTTTTTTAACTCTACATACTGATAAATAATCCACAAATTATATAACTTTTAATGTAATACCAGTTGAATAGAAAAAATTCAATAAAAGTAAAAGCAAATAGTATCTAACTAGGAGACAAAAATATATAACATGAATACTGACATCTTTCTGGCCTTGACAAAATGATCAGCTATTGATACTGATAGAATTTATGCACAGTCAGAACAACAGCAGGGAAGTATCACATATGGTGGTTTTATTTCTCCCTAATTTTAAGACCAGCTACAGGACAAACAGGTTGTGTGACTGTGGAAACACAATTATATCCTGAGAATTTCCAACCCCGATCAAAGCTGCAAAGCTTCTGAACACAACAGAGGCTTAGCCTGTGACAGACTCAGTACCACCAAACAGGGTAGAATTGCATCTCATTTCTGTGCTTTTTGTCCAAATGAGATGCAAGGAAAGTGCTTGTATATTCTGTTTAATCCTATGCTTGTCTTCCAAATCAAAATTATAATTCTAATTTAGAATTTCTTTTACTCAATATATTGACCTAATTGAGAAAAATTTTCTCCCATTTTCTAATCATGAAATATTTTGGAATCCAGATTATTAACCAAATGATAGAAAGTTGGAGTAAAACTTGGTATAATCATTTCATTGGTCATTATTTCATTGGTTCCTTATAACAATCATATAAGACACATACAGAAAAGCCTATCTCAACCCACTTCCACACAGTCTACCTACCAAAATGAATAATGGTTCCATTTCTTCTGTAAAACATGCAGGTTGATACTCAAGGCTTGCCAAACATATCACAAAGTAGTTAAGCTCCTGACCCTATCAGATGAGTTTTGTGATAATCAAGAGATAATTGGTCCATTTCCCAAATCTGTTTTTGCTAGTTTTTTCACAGTAAGTTACATAATTTAACTTAAAATGGTATAAACAAATGACAGTCGTGGAGTATGAAAGGAAAACAGCTGTTATTTCTATGAAAACTAAGTTGAATTTTCTGGACCCTTGAGAAATAAAAAAAATAATGACTTAAGGGCAAGACAAGTACAAAGAGTGGGAGATATTTTAAAACTTGAGATGAATTTTCTTTAGATAGTTACACCTCAAATTGAAAGTTATAGGTAGTGGATCATAGATACTATTAATGCCAGTAGATGATACAAAATCCAATCATTAGGTTCCCAGAGCCTTGGATACATCAAAAGATTGGTGAACAAATGAGTGTTTAAATGCTTTATGTTATAATACAGTGTTTAAGGTAAATATTCATTGTTTAATGATTTCCTACTTTTACAACTTTTTCTATTAACCAAGAAATCAAATGTCCTAGTATAATTTAAGTTAAGTAGGTTAAGTAATATAGATGAGTCTCCTCATCCGTAAAACAGGTTGTTTTGAGAATTAAATAAAATCATCCATATAAAGAAATACCTGCTATATAGTAAGTACACATTACTCATAAGTTAAACCTGATATCCTGGTGAGGGTCATAACATAATGGTTAAAAGAAATGGCATGAGAGACCAGTCTACCCAGATTCACATCCCTTACCAGCTCTGTGACTTTAGGGGAAGTTACTTATCCTCAGTGCCTCAAATCTCAAATGTACAGAAAAATGTACATTATAACAACTCCAAATCCACAGGATTACTGTGCAGATTCAATGAATTAATAATGTAAAGTGCCTGACTACTAAATGCTTAACATAATAAAGTTTAGCCATTATTATTTTGTATATTATTGGCTTTTCAGCAAGACAGAAAACTGCCCTTTCTTAGAGCATTCAAATACTTGTTTTCACCTGCGATCCTTTGGGCTCTGTGCTTCTCTTCTCTAAAATGAACACAGGACTCACAGTCAACTTATTTTAGTACAGACAGATCACCAGTGCCATCTAGTGGCAAAATGCTAATAAATTCACCAAATGAGGAATGTTGCTTGTAAAAGGTAAAATTTCTACAGATAAGAATTTATTTTTTTTTAAGAAAAAATAAATCGAATGTTGTCATTCAGACATCTGTGACATGTTTTTTATAACTATTTTAATGTAATACAAATACAAGGAGGGGAAATTTAAAAAACTGTAAACCACAAGAAGATTGCTTGGTAAAAGCAGTACAAAAAAGGGATTCTTTTTTGCCTAAGTCAAACAATTGGGTTTAAACTCACTGCCAAAATTTTTTGGACAGGTTTGTGATGCAATAAACATTTGATCTTTTCTAGGCCTTGATTTCCTATGATAAGTAATTATGGTGTTGTATGTGTTTAATTCCTTTTCTAGTTCTAAAAGTAAGTGATAAATTGTTATACTCATTTCAACATAATGAACCTATAGTATTGTTTTTTCCCAGGGGAAAACCCTGATAACTCTTATAATCCCTTCCAAATTTATGATTTTTTTAAATCATATTGAAGGATAGAATTAGAAATGTGAATTTATGGTTTAATTTTAACAGCACAAAAGTTGTTACACATATTAAGACATTAACTTACATTGTTGGATATAATAAAATATTAGTACCATATTAAGACCCCATATATAACATGTAGCTTTACTTTCTACAAGTCAAAATTTACAGAACTCAAAATGCACAAAATGACTATAACCTATATTATACTTTCAGTCCTTGTTTGCTCAGTGGAAATATGTATGAATTTGAGAGCCACATTTAAGTTAAATAACACCAGTCCTCTAGCAACACAGTTCAAATTTTAGTTATCCTTGTGTATTAACTGTGAGTAATTAAAAGAGCTGCTGGCTCTTTGGTCTACAAATCACTACATAAATAACTGATGATACCATGATCAATGACCAACATGTTACTTCTTTCACAGTCCATCAATGGTTGGTTACTGTGTATTTCTTACTCAGTTCAAATGTAGACAGCAAATCATGTTGCCTCCCTGTTCCCAATGATAAACTCACATGACATTTCACAAAAATGGACAATCAGCAGAGGAATTTAGCCTATAAAAATGAAAGTGCAGCAAAAAAACAAAATGTTATGATGCTGTAAGTGACTTCGGATGTGAACAGAAGATATGAAAATGGTAACAGCAAAGCAAAGATAGGAGAGACCTAGGCCAGCACGAAGGAAAGAACTATGGATGTGAAAGACAGGGTAGAGTCACTTCAGCAGGAGTCTAATGGAATGTAAGCGGGTGGCACATGAAATAGGTAACCCTGGAATGATGACACTGTACCCCTTGGAGCGATGTAACTGTGGAGCCACAGGAACTCAGCAAAGGCAAATGATTGGCAAAATGAGGAATGCTATTATGACAAAAAGGATGACAACACCTTAGAAGTGTCACCAGAATAAAACTTCCCATTAAAGAAGCTCTGAGATATTTCATGACTTTGAAAGTACAAAGGACAAAATGGAAACTGACCCAAATTTAGAAAGAAATATGACAATTCAATTTACCAAGGCATAGAAAAGGCACTTGCTCTGTGTTGTTATATGATGAGATGAGAAGGCAAGTACTGCTCCAACCCCTCTTGAACTTTTACAAAAAACAAAACACTTTAATTCTCAACGTTTCTAGTGTTTTTAAGTTACAGTGTACTAAATAAGAATGTTTTCTATTTTTCATTTCCCTATATATTTATAAACACAGTAAGAGAGTTTTTAATGTTTTGAGAAAATATTTTAAAGGTCACAGAACAATTGCTTTTTTTTCCCATTGATTATTAAGATCCTTTTGCCCAGTTTCAGCTTACACAGTCATTTTTAAGGTCTCATGCTATTGTGCAAAGCAAAGACTGCATATATTGCCAATGCCTAAATTTTCTTTCACAATTTTCAGTCATTGTAATTATAAGTCATTTAGAAATTGTTACCTATTACATGCTAGTATAATAGCTAGTCCCCTTCTGGACATATTTTATAAATTATTTGCAATGTCATCACATAATGTTGAAAGATGCCCTTTCTCCTAAACAAACCAGATATACAGTAGAAGAGCATATGTACCTGGCAGTGGCAGCTGAACCAATATACCAGTGACTCTTGGGTCCATGTTCAATTGATCAGTTATATACAAGAGTTCTTCCTGAGAAACATCCTTAGGTTTTAGAATGATCTCACTACAGATACCTGGAAGAAAAACAAGTTAAGAAGTCACTTGACTAAGAAAGACGTGGTGTTTCATTAGTGGTATCTCACAAAGTGTGTGATTGTTTTTTTCTGCTCCTTCCCCAAGGGACAGAAAGGTCCTTCTACAAAAAAATGTTCAAAGCACCATCAGAGGGATTTCTCAAGTAGTACAGATGTTTTTTCATGAGTCATATGCAATCTTTGGCCCAATATCCCATGTGGCAAATAAACTACTATTAGTAGATTTGAATAGAGTAAAAATACCAATACCACCACCACGACTATTAAGCCAAGTTTGACAGTGAACTAGCCAGGTTTATTATCTGATTAAAACAAATATAATAAGGCCCTTTACATGTAAAGTGTTCCTCTCACATCATACTATAGGATCTGAAATCACAATGAATTGATTCAGTAAAAAATCTGAAGAAAAAGATTAAGAGGTGACTATAAACTTTGGTAACTAAATAATCCCCAACAATAACAACAATAATGCTTTTCAAATAGCACATATTTGACCATTATCATTCATAATTATCACACTTTAAAAACCAGAGAACATTACTTAATAACAAGTACAACTTAAATGCATCCCCACCTACAGCAGAGGCAGCTTGGATTTTCTTCCTGACATATGCATGACTTGCTGGATTATCGCCCACTAAAATGATACTGAGGTGAGGTCTTCTGTTCCCAAGGGAAATCCATGATTCCACACCTCGCTGTATTTCTTTCTGGATTTGTCTGGCCATTTCAGTTCCTGAGATAATAATGGCATCATGTCTATGGAAAACAGAAGAATAAATTTAGTACTAAGAAGACAATAAGGTACATTCAATCATATAGATTTAAGGTACAAGAATGCACAAAACATCTATGGTTCTCTGAGTAAGCAACCAAAATTTGATTTGTTTTCAAGTATATTTGATACCCATTCTTCAGGTTCATAAATATAATTTTGTGAAGGATTCCAACTCTGCTTTTTGGTTCTATACTCTATCTATAGTATAAATTTCTTTGTAATATTCATATATATGTTAATATATATATATTAATAAACCACACACTCAAGCTCTGGACTGTAATATTGGCTCTATTAAAGGCTCTGCTACTTTTTTTGAACAGACAGATCAACATGGTCTGTTTAAACTGGCACCCATCCTAAAAGCCCTGTCCCATGTTTTATGTATGTGACTCCACAGTCTTACAACACAGAGGCTAAGTTAGTTAGCATACTGTGTACAAGACTCTGAGGTCAAGAGAGCTCTGTCCTTATACAACACTCTTAAGATATTCAAGTAAAAATTCTAATCCAAAGCTCCAGGACAACTTAGTGACAACAGCTTCCAATCTTGCCCTGTCATTGATTACTGTGGGGACAAGGCTGATAAGCAGATGACTCAGTTGCTCATGCCACACCATGGCATCATCTCTAACTAAAAAACTGCACAGAACATTACTTCCTGGCAGTTTATTAGTAATTAAGAAGGTAAGAAATGCTATACCCTGATAGATGAAGTCAACCTATCTCTGGAAAGGCACAAAATGCATTATTGGAAGGCTTTCCTTCTCTACATGATCTCAAACTTAGAAGTGGTGAATTAATGTTGTTCTTACTGTGTGTTTATTTTTTAAAGGTACCTGATAAAGTATAAAATAGTTCCTTCGTCCTGCTACCCGTCCTTTCACTACTGAAAGGCCTGGTGAAAGCATAATCTGTAGCACATGATAATTATGCAAAATACCAAATTCAGGTCAGTGAATTTTGTGATGATGAAAAGGAGGGAGAAGCAAATGAGGAAGAAAGGGGAAGAAAACATAATAGCACCTCAATAATTTCTAGTACCTGTACAATATTTTCTAATGGCAGGTACCATGACTATTAGCCAACACACACAAAATGCAAACTTGCTGCCCCTTCCAAATAAGCCAACTACCTTCTATAAGTTGGTGTGCATATACACAAAACCAGACCAGGAATACTCCATTTCAGTCTGGTACCAATGGTCCATAGTGTTCATCCAAGTTTATATAAGTTTGATGTAAACAACATTCAGCTAAAAAGTGATTCCAAAATGTGATCTACGGACATATACATCAAAATTGCCTGGGAAACTTGCTGACCTTGCAGATTCCCAGACCCCACAATCCACCCACAATTCATAATCCCTGGTTGGGGGGGCAAGCAGGGGGAGCCTGGGAATCTGCATATCTAACAAGTTCTCATGGGTGTTCTTCTGCATGAGCATGCTTGTGTTCTTCAGTTCAACAAAAAAGTATATGTTAATAATAATTATAACCATGGATAAACATTTAACTGAGCAAATAAACTGGTTAGACAATACAGTACAACTAGCCACTGTAATTATAAATTACTTTGGATTCTAATTTTGTCTACTTCTCACTAAAAATTTAATAGCTTTCAAGACATGGTAGGTCATGGTAAATTCAGCATATCAATCTTGTTCTATTTTCTAATTTTCTAATAACTTTCTTGAAGTATGATTGATGTACAATAACCTGCACATATTTAAAATATACAATTTGATATATTAACATATGAATATACCTGGGAAACCATCACCACAATCAAGAAAATGAACAAATCCATCACCCACAAGTTTCCCTGTACCCCTTTGGAATCTCAGCATTCCATCCTTGCTATTCCCCCGTTTATCCCTAGGCAACCACTGATCTGCCTTCTGTCACTATGTATTAGTTTGTATTACCATACATTTTATAAAAGTGGAATCATGCCCTACATACTATCCAACTATTTTCACTCAGCATGATTAAATTGATTCATGTTTTGTATACATCAATAGTCCATTTCTCTTTTTCAAATAGTTCATTTCTTTTTATTACCAAGGCATTTTCCACTGCATGGATGTATCAGAATTTGCTTATCCATGCAATTATAGACAGATATTTGGTTTTTACTTATTTCAGGTTTTAGTCATAACAAATAAAGCTGCTACAAATATTAATGTACAAGTCATTGTATGCACATATGCTTTCATTTTTCTTGAGCAAAGAAACTTTTGAGGAGTGAAATGGTTGGGTCATATAGTAGGTATGTTTACATTTCTAAGAAATAGTCAATCTGTTTTCCAAAGTGGTGGTACCATTTTACATTTTTACAAGCAGATATATGAGAGTTCTAGTTGCTTCACATACTTGCTATCACTTGGTATGGTCAGTCTTTTAATTTTTAGACATTCTAAATGCTGTATGGTTGTATCTCATTGATTTTTATTTGCATTCCCTTAAAAAATAATGTTGAACATCTTTTCATGTGCTTATTTACCATCTGCCTATCTTTGATGAAGTGTGTAATTTAATAATTCGCCTAACATTTCACAGGTTGTTTCCTTATTAATGAGTTTTGAGAGGTCTTCATATATCCTAGAATCATCATTTATCAGATACGTGATTTGAAATATTTTTTCCTGTTCTTTGCCTTGTCATTCTCTTAACTGTGTCTTTGGAAGATCATCCCTCAATTTTGATGTATTTCAATCAATTTTCTTTCATAGATCATGCTTTTGGTATTGTGTATAAGAAATCTTTGCCTAGCTCAAGGTCACAAAGGTTTTCCCCAATGATCCTTCCACAAGTTGTGTGGGTTCAGTCTGTACATTTGGTTCTGATTTAGTTATATTCCTACTTTGATACAACTTTACATCAGAATATCATCAAATACTTCTTTGGTGTCTACTGAGATAATCATAGGATCTTTTTTTGTTTGTTTTAGTCTGTTAATATCATGAATTACACTGATTGGTTTTCAAATTTTAAACCAACCTTGCATTCCTGGGATAAACCTCATTTAGTCATGATTACCTCACCTTTCCAGATATTGCAAATGCCATCTAAAATTTTGTAAATTTTTTGCATCTATTTGCATGAGAGGTATTTGTAGTTTTTTCTTGTAATGTCTTTGCATGGATGATGCTGTACTCACAGAATGAGTTATGAAGTATCCTATTTTCTTAAAATTTCCAGAAGAGTTTGTGTGGAATTACTATTATTTCTTCCTTAAATGTTTGGTAGAATTCAGCCTTTAAGCCATCTAATCCTGGACCTTTCTTTGTGGGAAGGTTTAAAGCTAAAAATTTAAATTCTTTAATACAAAAAGCTATTTAAGTTATCTATTATTTCTTGAGTAAGCTTTTGTTGTTGGGGTCTTTGTGTACATTCTAATAATTAGTACTCAACTACAGACAATCAAATTAAGATAAAATATATTTTTGAGTTAAAATTTTATTTTTCAAGACTAAATAAAATTTTCACTATTTACTATGAATTTCTGGTTCCCATTTTATTTATTAATTCATTTAACTGGCCTTTTAACTAAGAGAATAAGAATCTCCTATATTAGCAAATACTAAGGGTTGCAGATAAGGCATTTAATTCAAGCATGACTAGGAGGTAGTAAAAATTGAATGCTTTCAATAAACTAAGTTGTATCAGCAATTTTCAGTTAGGATAAAATACTATAAAAGCAAGTTGATCTGCTAACATTTCAGAATTCACTCTTACAGTAAAGAACATACATTTGTATTTCAATAAACAAAACCATTTGAACTCTGTGCTGCATTTTAAAGCATATGAATAGCAATGCTTCTGCTGACTTGTTTTATAACTTTATTCTTTGTTAAAAGAGAATAGTTTGTTCATAGGCTACTGTGAAACTGGAAATCACTGACCATAATCCAGGATAATTATGGCCTAGACACTACAAAGCTGTGACCCTGAGAATGTCAGAGATGGCAATTACATCAACCGATTGCTGGCTTCCAAAGAGGCAATCTATATACAGATTAAATTTGACTGCACCCTATATGTTGGAGTCTGAGATAGTGCCAGGGCTTACTTTATATTATAGCACTGATGTGCTGAGTCAGCTTGCTAATTATAGCTGACATACAGCCTGGCCTAACTGGTGTTTATGGGTAAGCACCCATACGACTACACCCAATTTTGAGTAGGGACTTTCAGTATTTTCAGTAGCAGCTGGTCCATCCCATTGATGCCCTTGGTCACTAATGGCCTTAGCAAGCTTAGCTCTGTGGGATACACAATGTAAGGATAAATGAAGCAACCTGGAATTAGTGGAGGCCCAATGGGAGGATGCCTGTATCAGTCCGTATGTTCTGAGACCTGATAAATACATAATCTTTTTCACATAATCCTTCATGCATAAACAAATGAGCTTTTCAACATGCATATTGTGAAAATTGTTAAATATCAATTCAAATGTTCAGCCACAGAAGCATACAGCTCCTAGGAGTCCTCCCTAGCTCAATTCTTGTTCCCTGCCAATCCATTTTCTGCACCGCAGCCAGAGTGATTTTCCAAGTTTAGTCCTATCAGTTCACTGATTAAAACTCCTCACTGCATGCTCATTATTAATACAATAAATACATTTTGAGAACCCTCTATGTACCAAGCACTATTCCAGGCACCAGGGATGTAACAATGCATAAAACAAAATTGCCTGTTTTCATGGAAACTATATTCTAGTTAAACACATAAGCAAAATAATGTCTTTAAGTCAAACAATTAACATACATGTGAAAAACTGAAGTAAAGAGCGTATCTGGAGGACAGAGTTGCCATTTTACAATGGTGGGTTAAGGTGTCACCTTTCTGATTAATCAAGTGAAATCCAAGCCTAAATGAGGGAAATGAGGGAATACCTCCTGTGGCTATCTAGAAAAAGGAATTCTAGGCTCTCAAAGTCATGCAACTTCTTCATCTTTTGATCTTACATAGAAAGA